ACGTTGAACAGTGTTGGGCTCATAGGACATCCCTGTCTGACTTCACTTCTCGTCCAGAACTCCTCCGACTTTCCTTTTCCTACTTTCACTTTGTTTTTCGTTTCTTTATAGGTCTCCATGATTCTTTTTCTTAACTGTTCTCCAATCCTCGCCTTTCTCAGCATTTCTCTTAGTTTAACCCTATTTGTTTTATAAATATATACATATAAGTACTGATTGGTAAACCATTGCATTTTACAGTTTTCACGTTGGAGATAATCACACTTTGTTTAATACACAGACGAAAGATAATATAAAATAAACTTGAATTGCATTGTTCACTTAGTCGACAGAGAATATAAAATGAACTCGAATTACAGTGTTCAATTAGTAGACGGAGAATATAAAATGAACTTTAATTGCACTGTTTACTTAATCGACAGAAACTCAAACATCAAAATTTTTTGTCACATTTTTGATATATTGAAAAGTCTCCGAAATACATTTTATTATTTTCTTTAATTCTGTAGAGCCGTTTTTCTATCCGAGCAATAATTACGAAAAACACCTCTTAATACGAATTATTTCGATCGGTAATAACAGGACGGTCCAGGACCCTCTTAAATCAAGATTTAATTTATTATTTAACTACAATACGTGTTGTGCGTGTACTTGGCGCCTGTTCTTACTTTTTTAAAAAATGGTAAGGTTTTCGAGATCTCACACATTTTGTATTTTGTAATATTATTGAAAAATTGTTTTCTCGCCGACAACACGTCCGATAGTACCGATTGCTTTTAATATTACATATTAATGTATGAAGTAGTGACAAAGTATTAAGATTCGTACAGCAACTTTAATGAAAAATAATAGATATAAATTTTTTATATATAAAGAAAGAAAACGAATTCTATATTTTTTAGTGTATTGCAAAACGTGCAATACATTCATCAACAAAAAAATAAGCTTATAATGACTTACTATGTTTAAAATAGTAACATCTATAATTAACTTATCGATACATTACCATGTGTCAATACATGTGGAAAGAAGTTCGAGTTACGAGGTTTATTTGGGGTAAATCCTCCTAACGCACGCTACTGTTTCGGCTCGGCTTTTGGCTCGTCGCGTCGGTACACCCTCGGCTGTCGGTACATCCTCGACAGCCAGCGTTGCCGTGGAACTAGCGGACGTCACGCGGTAGAGGGGGTAAGTTACGATTTATGGGGGAAGTATCTTAGCAACCGACGCTACGACACGACGCCAGATGTCACGCCAACGTGTTTGTAAATGATTTGCAGCAAATTTAGTGAAGTGCGATTTTTCTTGTGTGATTTTTCTTGTACGAGCGATTAGAACAATCGAAAAAGTTCAACAATCTAAAAACAAACGTCAGACATGTCTGAATATGGTTGGTCATAAAACTTAAGTTATAGCTATATAGGTTATATTATATTATTATAAGTTAGGTTAGGTTAAGTTAAATAGCGTCGTGTCACGTGTAGCGATGCATCGGTTGCTAAGGTACAGAAGAGTGCATCATATCGTTCCGATCCAGGGGAAGTATTTCTCGGAAATTTCTCCTCCGGCTGTCCCTACTACCGCGCGCCGTTTTCCTTCAATCTCGGGCCGCTGGCGGAGATCGAAAGAGTACGGCGCGCGGTAGTCGAAGCAGCCAGAAAAGAGATTTCAGAGAAAAACTTCTCTTAGAGCGGAACGATACGGTGCACTCCTCTGTACTTCTCCCACCAATCGTAAATTACCTTCTCTACTGCTTGACGTCACGCGTCCGCGAGTTCCACGGCAACGCTGCCGACAGCCGAGGGTGTACCAACGCGACGAGCCGAAAGCCAAGCCAAAACAGTAGCGTGTGTTAGCAAGATATACACTTGGTGTGACGTCTATTGTGTAGTATTTCGCACATGGTGGCTTTGTTTATCCTCTAATTATATCTTTATCTGTGAGTTTTTCGATACGTGCATCTTGCCCTGACAGTCATGTCATTAGATCAGACAGTATGTGAAGGTAAACAAATTATCAAAAGAGTAACGGACGTAATCATAAATAAACATGTGGTAAACAATCTTTTAAATCGAATCTTCTTTTTGCATCAAGTGGCTTTAATTATGACTTCTAAATAGTATCAAGTTAATAATATAGAAAAAAAATTCGTGTAAGGTGAATTTGATATAATTTTAATGATATTTGATTAGTTTTTTGATAAGCAAGTGTCTCCGATTTTGAGGTTATATAAGTTGTTTCTTTAAATTTGTCAAGTGCAGACTGACATTTGGATTTTTCAAGTTCTCGAATCACTAAGAAGCCAAGTCACTTCCTCAAACTTATCTTTTATATTTTGCATTTTCAGATCTAAAGGCTTTTGAAAGACGGCTGACTGAGGTTATTGCCAGTCTACAACCTGCCACTATGCGATGGAGAAGTATGTAATTTTAATTCTTGTTTGTTATCTGCATTCTTTCCTATTACAACTTTTATTTTGCTGAAATATTGAGATAAGAGTAAAATATATTTATGTGTAGATTACTGTGTGCGATATAAAAAATATTCTTTTATAAATTTCTTTTATATCTTTTTATGTCTCCTACCTTGCAACAATACTTATAGTAATAATAAAATAAATAATTTATTAAATAAAATTAACTTCATTTCTAAGCTTTTACTGTAAGTTTGTTTTGGATATTCTTACAGTGTTATTGTGTTTGATGTCCACCTGCACCGCTGTTGGTGCTTGGCACTGGATAACAGATCCTATCACACCTACAGTACCTTTCACACAGAGTTTATACAATCATCCTTTCTTTACAATAGCTACTATAATATTAGGTAGGTAATAAAGCTCTGTTTTACATTACAATATTCTGTTAAAATCATATCAATAAATTTATAATTTTTACAGTGATATTGTTTATGATGGGAGCTCACAGACGAGTAATAGCACCTAGTATTATAACTCAGAGAGCCAGAAGTGTTCTTGGCGATTTCAATATGAGCTGTGATGATACTGGGAAGCTGATTTTGAAGCCCACAAGACCTCAACATCCTCATGAAACGTAGAATATTGTAAATTTATTTCAGTGAAAATAAGCAAAATATTAATTTTTTGTATAATAAAACATTTGCTCCAAAATATCATAGTTAACAAAAGAATTTAAAATTGTACATTTCATTTGCTCCAAAATATCATAGTTAACAAAAGAATTTAAATTATATATTTCAAGACTTATATAAACCTTGTATATTTTGAGAACTTCTGTTTACTTCTGTATGTATGTAAACCTTTATATATTATATATATTATATATATTTGTAAATTTAATGGGTTTGAATAATAGATATAATGTGTATATACATTGTTTTTATTCCTCAGCAAGAATACCTATTGACTTTTAGGAAGATATAAAATATATATTGAACTTAAAATCATATTCCTTCTCTACTAGATTATTATTCATATAATAAAAGTGTGCTTATTAAAGTATAAAAGCAAACAATCAGTTACTTGCTTTTTGTATAATGACATTTTCTAAGAAGAAAATAATACATGACGTTTGAGATTGTATTTTTGCAATGTGTAATCTATATAATTGCTATATAATTTGATAAATTATTCATTGTATCACATCAACAGAACAAAATCATATATTAGTGCACATCTTTTAGTTAAGTTAAAATTGACATAAACTTGCATAGATGTCTTCTAAGAAAAATAAATCTGAATAGTATTTACATACGATCCTGTTATAGATGCTCAATGCAAAATGTTTTCCAATATAAGTTCTCATACAATATATAGAATATATTTCTAGGCGATATTTTTTTTTTTTTTGCATAATAATTTAGAGCGCGCGCGTATATTAGTATAATTACCCCAATAAGTAACTATTGCAGTACAGAATTAAGCCATTATTACAAATCTGTTGTATTTTTTAGATTACTTATAATACGAGTCTTGTAAAATGATTTGTTTTTATCAATTATGTTACTTTCTTGCAAAGTTAGTTTTTTTTTTTATAAATGTTATGTTTTTGTGTGTTTCTGATAGCTTAGCAATCCTTTTCCCTACATATTAATTCCACCTGCAATTATCCAACGATTATTTTCACGAGACATAAAATTAAAACAAGTCACATTGTATAATAACGATCAAAACATTTATTCATCATTCTGCATATTACAATTCTCAATGCGCAGTCATAATTTGTCTTTTTTAAAATAATTGCATATACAGTTGGTACCATCTATGTGGACTATTTTATTTCTACTCAGTCCAACATCGACAATGAGTGTTTCTTTTGTCAGTTTTTCAAAATTGTGTATTTCTAGACGCTACAGTATATAATATGTACAAGTGAATTATTCGATCTTAATGTGTGCTTCAATATCTCGATGTAATAATATATTATCTTTCTAATATATTATCTGCAAACACAATATTTGCATATTCGAAAAATACGTGATAGAATGTCTCTAATAAATGAACGGAAGTTTTGTGCACAAAGTAAATTCCGTTTAATTTGAAATATCGATGTGTACACGTGAACTTAACAAAAGGCTCTGACCATTCTAACACCTTGTATGTGAGAACCCTATCCAAACTCTTTAGACAAATTCATTATTCGATTTACTTGTGAATGTAAAATAAATCGATTTACAACGTATATTTCAACTCCAGTAATAGCCTCATCACAGAAATAGTGGTTTTTTCGCCACATCGTTAAGTTTTACTTAAAATTTCTTTCTCAGGACCTTATGTCTTTATATGTAACCTACTTATATGCACAGTAGGTAGGTACATTCCTTTCCGATTAAGGACATAAAAAGGAGTCTAGGCTATTATGTTACGTAAAGTACAAAACCAAGAATTACAATGTGTATGACAAGTATTTCATACGCATTTTTCGTAGCACTCCATCCGTTATATTGGTTATATTGTCAGGTCCGTTAACGTGTAATTCTCTATTCCGTACTTCACGCTGACATACGTGGGAAGGTTTTGTCGATACATCAAGTTCATAAAATGTTCGGCAATGATGAGTCTCTGTCATTTTTCATACAAATCTATACCGTTTCTTGCTTATCAAACAAGAAACAAAAATAAGAAACTACATAAACGTTACACTAGTGAGACTTACACTAGTGCATGGAAAACAGATCACCAGCAGATGGAAGAGGCGCCAGACCACCAGTCACATCGGGCAGCTGCGTCAAGTCGGGAAGATTCGAAATGTGAGATTTTACTTCTGATCGAACAGCACACACCTTCTTCAGCTTTTCTTTGTAATCCTGTGTGTATGAAATAATAATTTATTTATATATGTATTGACACAAACAATACATAGATCACAACAGTATGTACAAATCGGTATCATACTTCTAAGGTGCTTTGCGCCTGCTGAAGTAGCTGTCTTTGTGCCAAGGTGTAATCGCGCAGCATCGTCAGCAATCTTCTTCTATCCTCCATCTCAGCTTGCAATCGTCCGTTGTAATCTGCCAGCAGCGCGGCCGCTTCGTTCACAGCAGCGCTCAACTGATCAGCGGCTCTTCGGTCCGCAAGATTCGCGAGCAGAGAGACCTCCGATACTTCCGGCGGCAAGGACGCAATACGTTCTCTTACACCTGCGTCTGAGGACGCGGTATTTTCTAGATCCTGTAAAGCAGAAGGCTTCGTTAGTTCAAATCTCGCGAAAGCCTTCGTCGCTGCTTCAATACAACGCACATTTAAGAGAAATCAAACACATAACACATTAACATAATTCAAATTTAAAAAAATTGGGTTAATGAATCTAAGCAATACCACGAATAGCGAATAACAATCTCTGTACTGAAGCAAAACTTCGATTTTATGCTAAATAACAGCATCCGATTTTTTCGCGGAAAATGAGTTTTGAAAAATTAAAACTAAATACACAAAGTGTAAATTGTTTTTCACTCACAAAGACAAAAAAGAGAAGCAAAACAAACGCAATTAAACAAAATACATAACAAAATCATTACAAGGTGGATGTATCAGAGAATTGTCATAAAGCGCTCGCAGACATGCCTCATGGATTCAACATATATTTTTATATAAATAAGATTTTATTGCTAACGATACAAGTTCCGCATCATGATTAATATTCGTATAATCTATATTAACCATTAAGGCCTTGATAAGCTCTTCAGTTTCCGGTGGATCGCCAGCGGGAGTCCGTGGACTTAAAGTCACATGAAGCTCTTTGGTACCGTCAACCTCTATTTCCGTTTCTGATTTTTTTCTCTCCTTCTTTTCTTTCTGCAAACGCAACAAATATATAAATTTCATACATTTCTATAGAAATTATATAAAGTTAAAAAACTGTACTTAGAACATTTATACAGTTTATTATATACATATAATAAACAATACAATTTTATATAAAATCAATTTACTTTTCCATCAGAGTTTACTCACAATATTTTCCTGAAGACTTCTTGTCATGTATAATATCAACATAATTTAATGAAACAAATATTTTTACCTTGTCATTGTCAACTTTAATTTTTTTCTTGGGCGGTGTTCCTGAATCCTTTTCAGAGTCTGTAAAAGCTGTTTTAAACTCCGCTATCTGTGCTTTATCATAAACTCCTCTCTCTTCCCAGATTTGTAGCAATCTGTTTAATCTTTCTCTTGTCTTTTCATCAAAACCTTTCATATGTTCGAAGGCTTTTGGCAAGACTGTCTCAAATTCCTTTCCAAACTCAGGTCCTTTCTTCTTACTATTTTGGATGACATCATTCGCCAGATACATGAACATTAATTTGCGATTATCTTTTACTGAAAAAAACATACATAAATTATTACAATTTCTTTAGTGGCTTATTTTTGTGTAAAGTAAGTAAGTTATAATAAACAGTGTTACATTCTACACATATATAACAATGAAATAAGTAAAAAACACATATGTATATATATTTTTATACAATACAGTTATCTATTTTTCAACTAGTAAAACACAAAGTTGCAATTTGCCTCTTAAATTTAAATATTAAACTCTATGTCTTAAATATTCTGTCTTTGTAACATATATTGAATAATAACAGGTTTAATTGCTTATGCACAATCTCAAGATACAAGATTTAAACAATATCTCTCTATTATAACCTTAACAACAAACATCAATATCAGCATTTTGCTGTCAGTTTACTTGAGACAATAAAAAAATATTAAATATTTTTACAGATGCATATTTCTCAATATTAAAAGTGCTTTCTTGTACAAGTTAAATTGTGTGTCATAAATTATACACATACATAAATGCTTTTTTTTCCTCAATATCTCTTGGTCAGATGAAGAAATGAACCATACAATTCTATTGTTAATTTTATTCTCATACACATATGTAAAGCAGATGTTTATTCAAATTATGCAACATGATGTAATTCTAAAGAGCCACATTTAAAAATTTGTGAGTCAAATACAATATCAAAATACAATAAATTCACGACTGTCTCGTTTTGATAACAATAACGATTTCAATGTTTCCTTATTCGTCGCAACACTTCCACCCGGTCGAGACACAATTTCGATTCCTCGACGAGATAACGGGAAGTACAAAAAGAAAAAAAAAAAATCATACCTTTGCACATCTCCTTGAACCAGATCTTTACGATGGTCGGGTGATGTTTTCTATGATGTATCAACCAGAGCGAGAGCGTTTGAATACTCTGCTGCGACGGATTTAGGTCCATTAGTCGCTTGACCAGAGCGCTCTCCGTGAACCCCGTCATCGCGCTGGTTGTCTTGTCAACGAAGTACTCGCAATCGCCGACCGGGATTGCTACTTGGTTTCACTACCTCCTCTGGCTCTGCCAGCTTCCGTGTCAATCGAAAGAACGTGCAAAAATTAAGCAACGAATTTTGCACGTACCTACACGTACGGAACGTACACGAGGTATACCTATGGCTATAAGCAACCACGATGGACTACGAATACCAGGCCTGGCAACAGCTGAATCAAGCACAAAACGGCGACGAAAGACGCAGTTTCTGCGCAGGGGTACGTTCCAAAATCTTACCTTAGTAACTGAAAACTATAGTACACGTGACGTAAAATATAGTATTTTAGTAACCAAGGTAGGATTTTGGAACGTAACCCAGGCGAGTAAAATTATTCGCGCCGTCAGCGCCGTTGACTGCCGTGCGACGAACGTGTGTACTATAATTTGATTAATGCTCAATATTACGTAACATTTTGTTATAGTTTGTTGTTGTACACAACTTACAAAAATATTACGGAGCTATGTAAATTGTTATTAAAAATCTTCGGTAACGTAATAATAAGAGCAGAGAGAAAATCTAACGAGCGATTCTCACGAGCGCATTTTCACGAGTGCGTTTCTTTTGGTAAAGTAGTTTGGAAATTTTCTGCTAAAACGATTCCAATCTTTGCTGTAACTTGGGATGCGTTCGAAGTCTCACTACAAATGTTTCAAAGCATCATTCTATCTTTGTTCGACATTGGGTGCGTTTCAGACAACTCAACAGTTGCACAACGTTTGAGAGATAATCACTTCTGATTGGATCGTACTTTTGGAACCGATGCAGATTTTGAAGAATAGTCCTATCATAAGCAATGATCTCTCAACCGTTGAGTTGTCTGAACGCACCCATTTACAACGAAGATAAAATGATGCTTCGAAACATTTGTAGCGAGACTTCGACCGCATCCAATGGTTACGTTCAGAAAATTCAAAAGTTGTGCACAACGGTTCAGAGATGATCACTTGTGATAGGACTATTCCTCAAAATCTAAATCAGTTTGAAAAATATGATCCAATCATAAGTAATCATCTCTCAACCGTTGTGCAACTGTTGAGTTTCTGAACGTAAACAATAGGTACGTTCAGACAACTCAACAGTTGAGAGATCATCACTTATGATAGGACTATTCTTCAAAATCTGCTGCGGTTCCAAAAGTATGATCCAATCAAAAGTGATTATCTCTCAACCGTTGTGCAACTGTTGAGTTGTCTGAATGCACCCAATGATGCGCGCTAAAATGGTAAAAAATGGTCGAGTTGATTCGAGTCTTCGATAAACATACAAGACTAAAACTTTAATTGTATAATCATTGCTTAAAATATTCAATATTTTAATGACACAGTTTTTAGTACTTTATCTAACTCTATTAATCTTTAATCTTTCGAACATTTGTTACTTTTATCTTACGCTACGGACTTATCGGAGCACGGACTTGTCGTTCACACGCGAAAGAGAAAAACAATCAAGGTATTTAGAACAATAATTTATTTATGTATGTGTTGATGTTATCTATATAAGTATATAGATGTTTATTGGACAAGTTTATATGCACAATATGTGCGATTTGAAACAATAAATTCATTTGGTACAGAACCACTGTTTCTCATCATAAAATTACGCACCTAAATGGACAGGTTATTATTGCGCCTTCTTTTAAATGTCAATAAGATTCATTGCTTATGTTAATATATATATATATAAGTCGATAGAATATTGATGGTGAGTTTTGTTATTTTTTATAATATATACAAAATTTTTTTACGATAAAAGATGAATTATCGTTCTTACCGTACTATTGAGCGAAAACCGATTATAAATAAACTTTGCAATTATAAATCGTTCGGAAATTCTCTCTCCTAAACAGAACGCAAGTATAAAAATTAACAAAAAATATCTGAAAATTCAATACACTTTATTTTTATATTTAACCGTACAATAGATTATACAATAATATTGAACATTCTTGCTCTTAAAATAAACACCGAATATTTATTTATTTATTTTTTTTAACAAACTTAACGCGAACAAAACTACTATATACGTTTTTTTTCAGAAACGTGAGTATTCAACTTTTTAAACTTGCAATTTATAGCAATCAATAAGATAAATGAAAAACCAACAACCTTTCTTCTCTGCCTGAGGAATGCGTCGTACAACCTTACATCGAAATTGTAATATCAATGTGTAAAAAACTAACCATCTGGAATATAAATATACGCAAATGGCAATCTTCCTCGATAATATTCCTCTAATTAATACTGTAACGAATGTTACGTCGGCATTGTTTTCAAATCAACGAATCATCTCATTTTGAAGAAATTTATAAAATCAATAATAATGGAGAGACCACACACATGGCAATCTCCTAAAAGATTTTTATCTCTTCCACATTGTTTTCTTGTCTGCTCAATTGGTTTTTCAATATTTGCATTCAGATAGTCCTTTCTAGGGATACAACACCTTAAGCAAATTTCCAATATCGTATTGTATCTTTATCAGTGCTGTTTCTTAAATTCGTACATTCATTCGTAGAAAAGAAAAAACACTGAAAAAAAAACACGAATATTCGCACGATATTCGTAAAGGTCTTTGAAAGGCTGAATCAACAAACTAAACTGAAAGCAACAAACAATAATTCGCCAAAACAAGTTTCTACCAATCGATTAATTTCACAGTGGAACGAGATCTAATCACCGAAGAAAGTCACGACTCCGTTTTGCCGGAAGTCGTCTCGTTGTCCGCTTCCGTCTTCAGCTTCTGCTCTTCTCGTGTTTTAGCTTCCTCGTGCTCTTCATGCCCCACTTGATCCACGTTCACTTCCTCGTCCTCCTCTTCCTCACCGCCTTGTATCACTTCTTTCTTTATCGTCACCCCGTTGTCGCAGTTGCGCTCTTCAGGCTCGCAATTTTTCGCCTCGCGAACGTTCTCAGGTGGCGACGAAAGTGTTTCCTCTCCCGGACGATGGAAAGTTAACACGTGATGATCCAGCTCCGCTCTAAAGAAGAACTTGAGCGTGCACTTGGAGCAATCGTACGGTCGAGCGCCCAGCCCGTGCTCCTGCAGCATGTGATTCTGTAAACGAACGCGTTAAATTTTTTTTTTTTTTACGCAGATATTTTACGACAAATGAGTGAGAATATATTTAAGATAAAGATGAAAAAATAAAGATACTCGAAGCTGTGCATAATATTGACTGCTGAATTATGGCTTTGGATAATATAACATCTAGTGGAATTTTAATTGATATTTGCAATGAAGTAATTTTAGAAACTATGACGGAACTGAAATAAGAACCGCGAAGAGAATAAAAAAAAAAATAATAATAATAATAATGAATCGTTTCGACACGCATATGTACCCGTACTTATATTCATATATTATTGCAAAAGATGCTTATTTAAATTTTAAACAAAAGCGAATGAGGAGAGAGAGAGTTTAACAAAAATCGTTTTATTATATTTCCACATCCAGAAGTTAAAAACATGAAAGAATCTACTCTTTTATTTGTATGAAACACACGGAATTTGTGATTCACCTCTTGTGCAAGAAAAACAATGTTTGTGAAGAAAAACATTTGTGTTAATGAGTCTTTTCTCGACCTTATTTATCCGATTTCTTTAGAAGTCTGCGTGTCGTTTTCTATAATCGCGAATGAATAATTGCTACTTTACAGCAAGAAGAAGCAATTCAATTATATACCTGAAGGCCAACGGGAGTTGTAAAGAGCGACTGACAAATGTAACAACTAAGGGCGGCACAGCCAGCGAAAGTGTGTTCTATCAAATGAATCTGCAACTGCATAGGATTGGCGGCTTCGAACAAGCACAAATGACATCGTAAAGCTTCCAAGGTCGGTTTTCCGGAAGTTTCAAGGTGCTCTTTCCTCACGTGTTGCTGAATCAGCGCTTCGCTGGGAAAGGACATCTAGAAAATAAATAAAAATTTTATTTTAAAAAAAAAACCAGAGAAAACCACTAATTTTACATTTCAACCTAAATCAATTGAAAGATTTTATTTTTCTTAACTTTGTATTTTCTTATTATTTCTGCTTTTTACACTGATGTGTTTTAAATTTTATTCTGCATTAGAAAAATAGAATTGTGTAAAAAAAAAAAATACACAGTTACTAATTACTCCAAACCAACCTGACATTGTATACAAGAGTAGGAATTCGAGCCATCACCGTTAGATTTTTCGTGTTCAGCGATCCTATGTTTTTCCGCCTCTTCAGGATCTTCAAACTTTACCCCGCACTCTTCACACCGTTTTTTTTCTGCATTTACTTCATTCCTAGATTGATCTTCTACCTTAAGTCTTCTATCATGTTCCCACTTGTCCTTAGAGCCGTCCCACTGACCGTCCTTGGCGAGCCAGGGCACTTCGTACTTGGCTCGTTGCTCATAAGTCGAATTTAAAATAGGCAAGCCCTGAGAATGTCGCATGTAACAGGGTTTGCAAACTCTGACCGGCTGTCCGCTTGTACTGGCGGGATTGGGCGGCAAACTGACGAAGTCCTCGATTGCGAAATCTCGCAGGCAAAGACAGCAGCTCTGACTCTGTCCTTTTCCGGGACTGGTCGGACTGGAACCAGCGCTGCGTGATCCTGAAGAATTTCGCAGATGATGCCTCGCGTGCAGACGGCATTCCAGATCGCTAATCAACGTTTGTCGACAGACGACGCACGCTGCGGGCAAGTGAGACAGAGAATTATCGAGTCGTTGCTGCGGATCCACGTTCTCTAGACTGTGTCTCTGCACGTGGTCCAGGAATTGGCTTTCCGTGGTCAGACAGCCACGACACACAACGCATGTATTGCTCAATTGGATCTTGCAATGTTTCTGCAATTTGTGTTCGGCCAGGCTCGCGCCGGACGGACACACCTCGTCGCAAATGTTGCATTTGTGACGTCCGCCAGGCTCGCTGGACGCGTGCTGAATCCTCGTGTGCGACTCCAACTCGCTCCGCGAGCGACAGACTTCGCCGCAATAACCACACGTCATGCTCAGGGCTGATAGACTCTTGCTAGATAGTTTGGCGGGTGTGTGCGCGAGTTTCTTGTGCGCCTGCAGCTCGGCTTCGTTCGCGAACTCGCCGCGTTCGCAGAGTTCACACTGTTGACCGCCTGAAGTACCGTAAGCTGGACGTTTATTGTTATTGTCACGCTGATTCAGGGAATTGTTGTTACTCGACGCTGGCGAACGGCCTCTCTTCAAGGACTTCGTCTGTGATTTCAAATACAAGTGATCTATAAACAATCTATTATTTTATAAAAAATACGTGTGTAAAGCAAAAATTCTATTATTTAAAAATGTTAAGCTGTAAGATCTTTACAAATAATAAAATTACGTTAACTAAAACCTTTATATACGTATATAGATATATTTTTAGAAACTTAGGTTCAAATATTTTTAAATATCAATTATATATATATCATATAATGATATAAAACTCTTACTTCTTCCTGATTTCTGGCCGGTCGATGAACACGACCGTTCTCCCTTGAACTACTTCTGACGGATGACACTTGATGTTCCTGAGTCGTCGCGTGATGAGCCTGAGCAACGTGCCGGTCCAGCAGAAACTCCACCGCAAAGCCCTCTCTGCAGACAGGACATCTGTAGAGATTTGTCGAGTGACTGGCCAGATGAAGCTGAAGCTCTAAATCCGAATTGCAGCAGATTCCGCAGAAGACGCAGCGTGGAACACCACCGGGCGTTGAAGCCGGGCTCCTCGCAGCTCCCACTGGACTGCTGCTCATCAGGGACGCGGTGAGCGGAGGTGCGTGCACGCTGCGCACGTGCGCGGCCATCTCGGCCTCGCTCCTGAAGTAGCTCCTATCGTCGTTAGCCGCCGAGTTCGTTCCAGGCGGCGAGTTTTCATTATTTGACAAAGTACACGCACTGCACCGATAGATCCGACACTCCTGGCTGTGCTTCACCGCGAAGTGCACCTGTATCGCCACTCGAGAGTCGAAAGTGTCCCGGCAAAGCGCGCAACGGTATAAATGATGTGCGTGCACATCTAACAGATGCCTCTGAAGCTGGTCCGGATGCGGATAGAGCTTCTTGCACGCGCCGCACGCGTACTCCTTGCTGAGCTGGCCCAGGTAGTGCTTGGTCAGATGAGCCAGCATGTCCTCGCGATTCGGAAAGACGGCTTCGCACTTGGGACACGGATGTTGCCGGTTGGATACTTCCTGATTACGTTGATCAGCCTGCAAGTGACGCGCTACGTGCTCGCGAAATGATTCAAAGTCCTTCAAGGCGGCGCCGCATTGGCCGCACAGCAGGGTACCAGCGGTGTATCCACCGGCAGTATCCGAAGTAGATCTAGTCGCGTGCTTATTTGTGAGATCCGCCGCTTCCGGCGCGTCTCTACTTCGCGACACTCTGGAGTCTCTCGCCGTACTGTCATAAACGCCGTTCAGCTTCGTTTCCCCGTAATCCATGACGGTAGGCGGCGCAGGTCGACGGTTCTCGCAGTGCTGAAGAACGTAGTGCTCGGCGTAATTGGTCGGCGTGGGACATGGAATACCGCACAGCGGGCACATCATGATTGCCGCGCCGTAAACGGTGTCGTGTCGGTGAGTCGACAGCAAGTGATCGCGCAGGCAGGCCAGCGTGGAGAACTTCATGGTGCACTGGTTGCAGGTAAACGCGTTTTCATAGTGATCACGTTCGTTGGGTCTCTCGTTCCGATCTTCGACCGGATATTTTCGGTCCGAACGCGAGCTCTTCGAACTGTCTTGGTGTTCCAACGGTTTGCAGACGGTTGTCCGTTGCTCGCTCGGCGGTCTGCTCGGTGACGGCGGTCGCGCCAAATCCTCCGCGCCGCTCAGAATCGCCTGGTGCATCGTGTGCACGTGCATCTGCAGCTGTTGCATGCAACTGAACGAGTCCCGCGTGCAGTACATGCAAGCGAGCTTTAGCGGCGAGCTGAGAACGGGCGTGGTGGAGGCACTGCTCTGCGACGTCTTCAGAACGTTCCTCGTGTTCAGACTGAGATTCAGCGATGGCGACGGCGACGATGGTATCGGTGGCGACGACGTGCTGTGCGAGGACACGCTTCTTCTGCCGTAGTCGACGTCGTGAAGCTTGCCGGTCGACTGGGAGGATGACTGATGATGCTTCTTGTGGGATTGCATGTGCGACGTCAAGGCCGCGGCTGTGTTGTAGCCTCTCGAACAGGCTGTGCACTGGTAAGGTTTCTGGGTGTCGTGCGTTTTCATATGAATTTTCAAATGGTCACTGCGAAAAGCGACAAACGCTCGTTCGAAGACAAAGATATAACAAAATTATATATCAAATATTTACGACTATTTTTTTCATGTGTATACGTATTTATAAAAAAAAAAAAAAAAAATGTATATCCCATTGAGACGCGTGATAAAAGCAATAATTTTACTTGTCAATATAAAATGCACGACGACCAACAACAATGTCTCTCTCAACTGCCCTATTTATTTATCGATGTAATTTGTTATTTCAAAATAACGCAGAGCAATATCATCGCGGTTTAGCTAGTTTTTGACGTCAAATCAACCTGTCATTTTTCCTTCCCATTCTGAAATCGCGATTCACGTTGTACGCTCTATTCTCGAAATAGATGACCGGCGCTGTACAGTTCGACTTTAAAACGCTTAATTGCTTTTCGTTGCACAGGTCGCGGGTATCTAATTCAGGAAATTCTATTTCCTGCAATATATACACGTGACGAGTTCATCATGTATGTTAAAACTCATCAAGAACCTCAGCTTTGTCAATCAAATTTGAAAATAGATATCCTTTACACGGCGATATTTCGATTTCTCTTCAGCGCGGAAATCGGATGTAAAGCTATCGGATAAACGATCTTTTAATAATGTAGCGCATGATCGCGATATTGCGATGTTAATTTATCGTTCATTCGACAAACTTCGAACTTTGCTCGAACTAGGATATAAATTTTAACATCGGATGTCAATTTTACGTTGAAAAGATCGAGTCAGAGTTTCCGCTCTTTTTCCTACCTTCCGAGAGAAAGAATTGAACGACGTCGGCCACTCGATTAAAAGAGCAACGTGAAAAAACCTAAATGAAGACGGACAGCCGAATCTGATCTTTCTCGCTCTTTAAAATTTAACTTGAAAAATATTTTCCTCGGGTGCTGATTAAGCGCGCCCTATTAATAAAACGCCGCACGTACATTACTCAGACGTGATATTGACGTGTCCACGTTTAAGCGCTCACGATGACATTTCTACATTTAGCGAATAAATAAATAATTCTCTCGTGAGAGATGGATCCGGAGCTGAAAGTCATTCTTCGTCGCGCGCGCGCGCACATACATCTTGTGCATTATAGGTGCTCCATCGATTCTTTCATATTTAAATATACGCGAACATCGTGCAAAGTAGTTATTCAGCGCCGGAATAATGGAACCTCTCGGAAATCCGCCGAATTACATACGTACTATTTTTCTTCAAAAATAAAGAATAAAAAAAAAAAAAAAAAAAAACAAACGAGAGAAAAATCTAGTGTCAATAATCTCTAATGGTTTTTGTTTAAGTTCCTGATTTTTTTCACAGAAATGAAAGATACAACTTGTATTCTCAAATAGCCGCGTCGAATCTTATCTATTTGTCAAACAATCGCCAATCAATGCGAAACGAACACAATCAGGCTAATTAATTATTTAGAACTCTTGGCAAAAAAAAAAAAAAAAAAACTGATAATTAAACATGACAAAGTATTCATGAAAATAGAAATTTCTCTCATTTTTGTCTCGGTACTTTACTCAATGTCTGTTTCAACAAATTAAAACAGACAAGTACCGCGACAATAGCAACACAAATAAAATTCTAAGCGATATAGGCGAGTTTCAAATAAAACTATTGGAATTTCTAAAGAGAAAAGTATATTTTGCAGCGATTATCTAATGTAACGAACACGTGAGCGCATCGGTAAGCGTAGATACGTTTATTTATCGAATAAAATGCCGAGACGAGAGCACACAGAGATTTTGAATAGATCGAGCGCGGGTAACGACTCGGCGATTTTCGCGGTGGACCCGCGAATGAATAATTCATCGTTGACCGGCGTGAATGTGTACATGTATGTATGTGTGCACGTGTGTGTATGTATGTATGTGTGCGCTGGTTTAACCCGAGAAGGTGGTCGGCGGTGGAAAACTGAATCTGCGCTTAAGATGAGGTCAGCCTAGCTCGGGATCTAACCGAGCGAGCGAGCGAGCAAGCGAGTGAGCGGTCAGCGAGCTGTCTCGGCTCGCCGAAACGAAGACAGACGGCGAATTTACTCCTGCACTTTGCGCCTGAATTATTCATGCGCCACCAGGATTATCGCCCGGTGAACCGCGGCTGTCCTATTATCGAGTGTATCGTTTGCGGCCGGTCAAGGGAGGGAGGGAGAGAGAGAGAGAGAGAGCGCGCGTCACCGACGATGAAAAAAAAAAGAGGAAGAAAGAAAGAGAGAGACGGGAAAAGAAAAGCAGAAAAAGAACAACGAGTCTCTCAAAAGCGAAACGTCGCGGTCGCTTGACGAAGAGAATGGATCGACGACGAGAGAACCGCGCCGGTCGAGTACTAATACTACTACTCGCGACGCATATTCCAGTTTTGACGCTACTATTATCCGTACGTTGTCAGCGACGTCATCTCATCTTTCACGAGAAAAATAGAAGATGACCGAGAGAACGTGGCAGATGTTTTATTATATTTTGCGATATTTTCGCCAAAACAATATCAATTGCAACAAGCTTTCGGATGTGATTCCATAGCCAGTTAATTGTCCATTTATAATTAATCTCCAATCTAATCTCTATTAAAGCACACACACACACTTTAATGAATACTTAAACAATTTCTTTAAAAAGATATCGATAATATCTTTTTATTTGACTTTGGTACATCGTAACGGTTTATTTTCAATTCGAATGAAAAAAAAAAAATCATAAATAAGAAAGCTAATTTGCAGTTTATTCTTGCTTGAAAAAATTAAAAAACGTTATCATTATTAAAGATGGAAGAAGACTGAGCGAAGAAACTGAATCGATTATTTACGCGAGATACCACGCTGCACACTCGAACATGTTTTTACTAAAATATCTGTATATTTGAAAATCAGGACTTGAGAATCGATTTGCATCTCTCGAGCTTTTGATTAGCGAAAAAATACTTTATCTTTGGAATCGTTGCTGTCAGTTAATCGATCCATGTGACGAAGAACTTTTGTACGGCGACTTCATCTGAGAAGCTTAATTCTCGCGAGGATGCAGAATTCAAGCGCGAAACGGCGAGCAGCCATTATGAACGAAAGAGAAGATCGCGTTTGGGGTGCAGCGAGGAAATGGAAATAAATGGTCCGTTAAACTCCACCCTCGCGAGTCGAAAGAAGCACCCTATCGCGGGATTCGTTAACGTGCTCGATCTTCCACGCACGTCGCTCGTGAAAACGAGCTTCACTTTCACTAATCTACAAGAAGTTTACGTTATTTCTTTGGCAAAAAGTCACTTGATAATTTTTTTTTTTTTTTTCACTTATTTTCTTCGATTGTCGAAGTAACTTCACGATTGAGCGAGCAACGCCACGTAAAATAGAGTGTTTGTAACATATATATATAAGTCAAGTAGACGTTTTCAATCTCTTAATAATTTAATCGCATTGATTCTCAAATAATTTGATTGATGTTCCCGTCAAATTAACAGAGCTATTTGGAATACATCGCGCGCATCTGTCTTACAATTAGTTTAAGGGATGAGAAAATCCCTTAAACTGGTGGTGCGCACCAGTCTGCGTGAGAACCACGGAGATTTTCATCCCTTTGTTGGTCAGCCGACTGCTTAAGTGGGAGAACAAATAGAGACGTGGCGTAAAGATCTCTGGCGATACGTTTGTAATAGCGACTGACAGGTGAGAAGAAGCACAAGCCCCTGTTAGAACCCGACCATTATCAACTGATTGCTCTGCGCTCGAAACTACGCAATTGTTCCAACAAAATTCGCCAGTTTGTCGCGCCATTTCAATGTAATTATAATTCATACTCGTCACAAAAAAAAAAATCTCGAAAGGGATTTACAGTGCAGAAATTTTTATGGAAAATTAAATTAAAAATTATATTAGATATCGCAAATTTTGATTTATACCTAAAAGATATATATATAAAAACTAAAACAAGAAACTTATACATTAATAAAAAATAAATTAACAGATATATTAACAATTGTGATATATATTTCGGTTTTTATTTTTATATCACTTATATTAGAATTTCTCTTTACGTAAAATAATTTCCAAATTGTTGCTCCAATTGCGGAATTTTAAATCTCATTTGATTGCAAAAGAAAAAACTAACAAAGCTGTAAATTGTGACACCGAGCGGAATAATTCATGCAGTGTTTCGACGCGCGTGGTCGCGAGCGCGACTTTAACGGTAGGCGGAGGCGGACGAGCGGCAACGAGGCGCTTGACTAATGTTCTACCTGTTGTCCCGTAACACCTATGCGTCCTCCTACTTGTGCCCCCCGCTCACCCGGGCCCCGCGGGGGCCCGCGCACGCTACACGCGTGTGTATCCAGTTAGGAAAAAAGCTGCTTCTCGCGCGCGGGGGCTCTACTTGCGGGGCATCAGCTTAGCATTTCAATGCGCCGAGAGACGATTCAATGGCGAAGCGCGTATACGCGAGAAAGAGGGTACGCGTGAGAAAGAGGAAAAGAAACAGAGACAGACCGATGAGGCGAACGCGAAGAGAACGAAGAGAAAGCAACAGGCACGCAAGAGAGTAAGCTTGACTAATGCCACCCGGGGCCGCGGTCGCCATGTGATCATTACTCATTTGTCACCCGTTGGATCTCAGGGTCCTCTGGAATCGGTCGTAGGGACCCCGTTGGGCCCTGCGTTTCGCGTTCCGACAACCGGCAGCGCCCCGTCGAGGGGCCTTCGTTCCAGCCATCTGTTGCGTTTGTGGTTGCGCGATTGTTTCTCTTACATCTTCCTTGGCTCGGTACTGTTTATGTTTTTTTTTTTAAGATACTCATAAAAAAACGCGTATCATTATCAAAGACGAAGAAACAGTAGTCCAATCTAATTAGAAAGAGTTTACATAAAGATCTCAAGTTTTTGCGGGGACATCGTAAAAAAAAAAAACAACATCGTTTCACAAATCTGATCAATCGCGAGAAATTAAAGTGTTTATTGATAGAATTTTGCACTTACCTTCTGGAAAATGCGGCTTCGCATTGTACGCAACGATATCTCTTGTCCCCGGTGTGCAGCTTTATGTGACGATCGCGACTACGCTTGTGCTTGAACAATCTGGCGCACCAATTGCATCGGTACGGCATCTGATCGCCGTGGCTCTACAATCAGTCGGTTTAAATATTTCGTTATACTAAAACACTACCAATAGTCACAGAAGACACATCTTCTTTGTACAAAACCACTTTTATAAAAATTACTTACAAAAAAAATCATTGCGAGAGATTCACCTAGTGTCTTTGTAACCAAATTGGGAAGACGAGTGCGCGGAACGCGGACAATCGACTTCTGACCAATATGTATTTTTCGCAATGGGTTTACTTTTTTAATTTTATGAGGTAAAATGTGTAATTTGCATGCGTGATATCATCTTAGATGAATCGTTGAACTCGGGACAAAATGGATTAGATCTAATTAGATCCAAATTAAATCTGAATAGATATAAAGTTGATCTAAATAGATGTAAATAGATCTATGTAAATTTACAACTTTTATTTATTATTAAATCTACTTTAGATCTACTCAGATCTAAGCAGATCCGAACAGATCTGAGGCAATCTAATATAGTAGATCTAAAATAAATAAACAAAAATGTAAATTTACATAAATCTACTTATATTCATTTAGATCTATTTAGATTTAATTTGGATCTAATTACGTCTGTTTTTCCATTTCTTTTTTATCTCGTTAGATTTAAATTAGATCTAATCCATTTTTTCCCGGGAATTTAGTTCGAATTTCTAATGTGGGTTAATTTACATGTTAAAAAAAAATATATATTTCGCACGTACATCCAACTTTTGGCTTTTATATCTTGATTAGTTGGTAAAGAGAGTCTTTTATAAATAATCGAAAACAAAAATTAAGCTGTCAATCGCAATGTAGTTCGTGTGTATCCAACGTCTCAATACTATACGATAACTGTAATATCGAACGTGCTAGAAGCTACGTTCGGTAGAAGAAGCTAGAATCGGGAGAGGTAGCTCTCTCCGTCGACTACGAAGACGCGTCACCCACCCAGATCACAGTGACCGATATGATCCCATACGGTCACCTCCTCCTTTGTGCCGCACTCCCGCTCGCGTAAAACGCTCCTCGACACGAAACGGTGCCGCGCGCGACAAGGTAAGTAAGCTCGGCACGTACAGAGCGGTCGACTTTCGAGCCGTCGGCTCCTTTGAGCAGACAATCTGGACGACGAGCGGGGCGATCGCCGCCTTGGGTCTTTCGCCGCCCGACGTGGACCACCGACACCGGGCGGCGCGGCTCATCGTCGTCGACGGACGACGACGAGAAAGAAGCGCATATTCGGCAGTTCTGATGATCGGACAATAATCTGGATTGACACGTTCCTTAAGATTACCGAAGATGCGTCATTGAGGATTCAAGTCGACTTTCGTATTCAGATAGCAAAATGTTGGGAATATTAATTTTAACAAATATATCAATTAAAAGTATATTAAAATTAAACCGATCAGAATTTTTTGTCTTCGATTAAAAATTCACAGTATCTGGAACTGCAGTTTCTATTTTCAGATCTGTCAACGTCAAAATGTGACAAGTTCGCGAAGATTGAGATCGCTCGCTACAAAGTCTCTCGCGATGAAGTAGAAACCGGCACGCGGCATAAATAGGCGGCTATCTGCCTAGAAGTCGAGGACTCGTCTTGATTATCGGAAGTCGAATCTGCGCGGGATTCACCTCGCGTGTTGTACATACACATATCTATATTCAACAGGGCGGTCTTTCGCGAGACGAGAAAGCGAGGGGGAGAGAGAGAGAGAACGGTCGCCACCTGGACGAATAACCTGATAACCGGTACAACCTGTTATAGGCACAACGCTACAGATTTTGACCCGACGATGACCCCGGTCGGTCGGTCCGGCATCGCCGGCCTCGGACGCGGAAGAACGGGCTAATGCCACCGCCATGCAAAACAAAAGAAATCCGAAGAGACAAGAACTCGCCACGCGCGTCCTCCGCGCGTCAGGACTCACTCGTGTGTCCGCGCCGCGCACGCAGGACACACACACACACACACACTCTCTCTCTCTCTTTCTTTCGCGATGAAACGCATTAACCTGTACGGGACTCCGTCAACCTGCGGAATCACACCTCCGGACCTTTTCTCACACCGCGTGAAAAGAGGAGATAATTTCGCGCGCGACTCACGGCGCGCATACTAATGTCACCGCGACGAACGAATCCTTCTCGGTTTTCGCATTTCTTTCTTTGCGCTCTTGACTTTTGATCCTCGCGCATTGTGCTATCACGAGTAAATGGGAATATGTACCACGGAGTCATGATATAACACGGCAATACGTCTTTTCTACTCTCATTTCTCCCTGTTTTTTTTTTATTCCTATAAAATTTCTACCAAATATATATCTTATGTATAAGACAAAAATTGAAAAAAAAGTGAATAACGTCACGAATTAAATCAGAAAAGAGTGTATGCATGAAACATTGTTTCTTTTTAAAATAAAGTTCTGGTATAAATAGATAATTAAAGATGGATAAAGTTTTTTTATCTATACGTTCACATTTTCTGAACATAAAAGGTTTTATCCAAATAAACATTTTATATGCAAGAGTATGAATTTATAAATATACATATCTGCAACTTAGAAAATTAAGATATATTATTAAATATATAGATTCTTTATTATTAAATATAGAAAATATAGATAAATTATTCGACAACAATTAACTGAAAATATCCAGACAATTGAGAAATCTGATAAAAGCGTATATGTACCTGTTCGTGCTTCTTCAAATAGCTGAGTCGCGGAAACGTTCTGTCGCAGAACTGACAGGGATAGGGGGCGGCGGGGTTGTTGGTCTCGGGATTGACACTGCCGTCAGCATCGACTTCAGGTTCCGACGGGAAACTCGCTGACGTCGGTGTCGCGCAGGAAGACGGTGTCTCGCCACCGCGGCGCGAGTTCGGTCCACCATCCTCGCTATGCCACGAGGAACTTCCGGTTCCTAAGGCCTCTGAAAAAAGAAAACAATAGCATAAATATTCCTAGGAATTTTTTCTGTGTTTCATTATCGACGATTAAATCTCATCGAGGTTCACCGAATGAGTTCTCAGGGTCGCTTGAGCGAGTGTCGACCTTACGAACTCACGTCATGTGTAAACGTAACGATATTACGAATCCGGCCGGCCTCACCTAGCTCGTTACGTTCCCTTATATATCGTCCGCGTAACGAGTGGAGACGGTAAAACTCGTACCATTAACCCCGAGCAATCCCGCGCGACTCTAGATCGCCAGAACTGTGTCCAACAAGCGCGAAACACACCTCGCGCGCGCATTACCGTCGTCTTCGTTAAGTCCGGGTTGCCTTGACATCTCGTTCTGATCTTATTCGCTCCAACAGGAAGTAAACAATTTTTCGAATAATTTTTATCTCACGTTCGAATCAATACACATTCCGAAATGTTGATTTTGTCAAAAAAAAATAATGTCATCAAAATTAATGAGAGAGAGACTGATATTGGAAGATAGAAAACGAGGAGTGTCATTGACAAAAACACGTAAAACATAACATAACTTCTTCTCAAGTGTGTCTTCGAATTGCGCGAGATGAATTCTCTAGTCTGTCGGTTTTGTGTTCGAAGCGAGAGGACGTTTTGCGTCATCTTGCGTAATAATGACGATTACTTAGTTGCCACTTCCCCCTTTTTCATTTTTCCTCAAACTGAGTATGTTTGTAACGTATATATATATCTTTTCTGTATCCATATTCTTCATTATCGTCGCGTAATTGTAATTTTTTTTTTTTTATAGAAACACTGAAGAAGATCCCATAGTGGATCTCGGAAACGTTTGTGTATCCTTTTTTAATTTCTCGGATTAAAGAAGAATTTTACCCGAACATCAGATGTAACTCGCGTTATTGCCTTCTCCCGATCTCTTTAAAATTTAAACATACAACGCGAGCACGAGAAACATATAAAATAAATTCTTCAAGGCTCGAGCGGAAATTACACATTGTAGCGTGTAATACCTTCGAAAAAGCGCGTGAAACGATTCGGAAATAGTGACCTCAGCGCAAATAAACTTCGAGGTCGAGGGGTTAAGTAGGAGCCACCCGCGTCTCCGTCACAGAAAATCCGACTTATTCCGACCGCTCGTTCGAAAAGGAGAGCGTGTCGCGCCGCCGGCCAACTTCCGGCGAAGTCACGCCGGCTAATCACGAATAATTTATAATTGCCGGGAATGAGAACTTAGAGCTCCCACCGTGCTGCCGTCGTCTACTCGGAGATAGAGGCGAAGAGACTCGGCCGTTCTTCTCCGTAAATGGTGGAAATGACTCGGCTAGTTGGCCGTTTCCTCATTTGTCGCCGGCCCCGACGACGATGTGGATCGACACCCACGAGTCGATTTAAGAGATTTTGCGGAATCCCAGCCGCGTGCGCGCGACGGAGACCGCACACGCCACCCAGAAGACAAAGTAGAGACGATCTCGGAGTATCCGTCTCTCGGATGCCGCGTAAATGACTCGCATCCTCCGCCCACGCGTCATCCTCGCGCGAGGTTTTCGTCTCTCTTCCTCTCCCAGAAAGACGTAATCCGGGCGCCACTTTTGCGTAATATCGCGATCGTTAACAATTTTCTCTTAACTTGCATAAATAATTTTCGCGATTTTCGCAACACAAAAACTTATATAATAATTTAAATCTTTATCTTCAAGGATAAGAATTTATATCTTTCTTTACTCATTTGTGTTCTAATTAACGCTAATTATTATAAATAAAATAATCATATCATATCATGAGTTTCCAAAAATATGCGCGCTGGAGTGAAGAAAACAGTTCGCAGAGAGAGAAGACGAGGTGATTCGTGCAAACGATATTTGCAATCCCGAAGTACTTCAAGGAACTTCTTTCTTCACGTTGCACAACATGTTTCTATTGGGGCATTCGCCCAATTGGCACCGTGACTGATTCACGCGTTCCGACGACTCTTGAGGGGTGCTGAGAAAGCTGTGGTGAAGAAAGGCTGTCTGGCTGAGAAGGAACGTGACCGATCACTGCGCGGCCAACAAATATAAATCGAGCTAGAGGGGGAGAAAGAAGGAAGAAAAAGAGAGGCGCGTGCATCCAGGTGGCTTTAGACTTTTTGGCAAAGTAAGCTAACGGACGTATGAGTCGTATAACTAAAAAACATTTATTTAAACATTTTGATATTAAATTTAAATTAAGCTAGAATGGAGAACACTAATCGGTATACTTTAAAAAAAAGATGATTTTTGCAAGAATGATGGAAAATAAAATATCTTTCGGATACAGAAAATAATTTCACATTTCGCGCGATTGACTTACGTCTCAACGTCCAGAAAATCAAAATATCGGAGGGGGGTTGCGGAAGCAGCTGAAGAACAGATTTTTTGAAAGTCCCGATGGGGTTTGAGAAAGCTTTTTATTTAGCTCGCGATCGTGTCCAATGTGTCATCGGGGCGAAAATAGGCGCATTTAGCGACACGACCTGCCGATGCGCGCCGACCTGTGTAGCATCGCGTTGCGTCTCGTTGACGATGCTGTTGTCGCCTCGTGCTCCCGAGACTATTTATAGGAGCGCCTCGGCGACGCTTATTAATAGGGGTCCGACTTAACGCCTTCGTTAATTGTGACTTATGTTGGGCCGCGCGCCTCGCGCGGATTTTCGCGCCAGTGGCGTAGTAGCGGCACTCAGTGCAGCTTGAAAATTACCTTTTCATAAAACGAGGAAAAAATTTTTCCAATATCTCTTCTGTTGTTGTTTTTTAACGTTGTTTTTAATTTTTCTCAATTTTGAGAAATATTTGCAAATTTTGCATGTCGCAGACTTAGCTCCGCCAAACTTCCGTCTGATGAATTCTTTGAGCAATTTCTACACACTTTACGTCAATTTTTCTATTTAAAATTTCTTTGCAATTCATTCTCATTACAGACTTAGCACGTGCATTTTTTTTTTTTTAATTGCGCAAGTTGGATGATTTGACAATTATTTTATTGACGAAGAATCTTTAAAACGCCACTGATTCAGAGGCACGTGCAGATTTCAGACGATCGTGAACATTGACATTGGTGCTCGCGACACCAGGCGGCGTCTCGGCAATGCATATTCACGCTGTCCACTCGCAATTACGAAGTAAAATGATCGCCGCCGTTACCGGCGACAGAGTTTAATGGCGTGCTCGTCAGAAAGCCATTTTGTATCAACTTGTTCTTGGCGTACGTCATCAATCGCGTCTCACTTAAAGGTGTAATGTGTGCGTGCTCGCGTGCGCGCGTATATACGTGTGACGTGGAGATCGGATATTTATTGCGCGACGATGAACATTTGTCATAGGTGAACTCGCGCGGGTAATAATATTTCACGTTGACTCGCCGGACTTAATTTACACGCGACCGCAGGCGAGTTCTTCCAGGATTTCGACCGATATTTCCAAAAGTTCTTCTTATTTTTAGCAAGCAATCGAATAACATAGTGTAAGTTTTACGACGCGTTTATTTGCAAACGATTATAAATAAAAATAATACACGCGTCTGTCTTTTTTTTTTTAATGAATGTAGAATAAACTTAAAAGTTTATTATATACGTATATATTACGGTGTAGAATATATATATGCACTCTTTAAATAATAAATTAACATTTTGTTCACGTTGCGCTTCTAAATAGCCGGAGTCTTTTGCACGCGTAATGATCGCCACGTAAGTGGCGATTAGTCAGCAAATCCTCACCGAAGACAAAAAAAACGCAAAAACACCAAGACGCGGCAATAAATAATCAAATAACAATTTCTTGTCTAACGATGTATTAAACGCGATTTATATACGCGCAATCATATATGCGCGCAATATAAATTATCTTTTATCAGATTTCTCACTAGTAGTAAATCTGAATGAGACGAACTAGTAGAGATGTTTCAATAATCGCTCGTGTGGATGTGAAATTCCTTCTATCGAAACACGTACACGATGTATGCCAGCGCAAATACAAGTAAATGCGAAGAATGTAAACAGCCAGGTATCAAGAGCTATATTTGTGTCTTTCCTCACACACACACAACGTCGTCTTTGATATTCACACTCGCACAATCGAGTAATTCAAAGTTTCTCGCGAGCCGAGTTTATCAAGACATTAATGGGTATAATATGTAGCATCGAAATTCGTAAACCTTTCGTTTCAAAAATTACAAACTTGTCAGGTAAACAATTGTTTTTTTTTTTTTTTTTGTAAATCTGCAATGTTTTCAAGTGACGAAAAGAGCGAGCAAGAAGCAAACTTTGTGGAAAAACATTGCTGCAAAACTCGAGACAAATCAGGGGACGAAAAACAAAATACAAGATATATATAAAAAAAAAAAAAAAAAAAANAAAGAGAAAGTTACGAGTCAAACCTTTAGACTTGTGAAATCGTTGCTCTTCCTGTGACGGTTCCTTGTGCGCTTGAATTTTTCCTATCAACAACTCCAGCCGCGAGCTGTTGCCTTTAAAAAGCATTTTGAAGTTTTTCAAACACTCAAGAAGTTCTCGCCGTTGCGCTCACTCTGGCGAACAAGTTTTTATTTTCGATCGTTTTTCAATTCGTCACCAAGCACGTCCACGTGGGTTTGGTATGAATAATAATAATAATAATAATAATAATAATAGCAAAAATTGTCATCACCGCGATAATAACAAGCCAACTTGCCGAGAGCTTGCTGCGAGTATTGTAGAAATAGGATCAGCTGAGAAAAAGAGCTTCGTAGAAATCGATAAGTCAGCTGACACGTTAAGACTACCTGATCACAACGGGCGTCGAATATCGATCGGAACGTTTGTATCGCACCGACGATAGGATCGTCTCAATATCGGTTTAAATAAATTCCAATGTTAATTAACGGTTTCCAGTCCAGTTTTCGATATTTAAGGCACTTGTCAATCGCTTACAATGTTATCTCGATGTAATCCTTCAAAAACAATCTTTTATCATTTGCCGTCTCTTGAATCGTTATCGGTATCACAATGTTCAAATTCAACCGACGTGATCGTCTCTCGAATAAACTCCCAAAGTATCACCTTCGCATCGCAGTTGTCTGTCGTGATCACTTTTCGATTGTTCCACAATCGTCACCCAGAAGTCATTGGCACTTCGTCGTCGGTATACCTCAACAACTGTACGGAACTGTCGGCGAACTCGCGCGCTGGTCCCCGGATCCCTATCGCACAGAGTACGTGAGTACAGGTAGGTCTGGATCGCATGGGTCGACGATCGATCCACCGTCGATCGCGATGCTCCGAGAACTGCGGGGCTCGTCAGTCGACCCGGCATCTCGGGCGATCTCGAGGCGAGCGCGCGTCAAGGGGGTCCCACCCGTGACTATTATCGCGCGCGATGCAAAGCGATACACACATACATAGGGAACATACATACGCGATTGAAGTTCTCCTTCGTAGTGAGTGCCGAGGAGAGAAACGAGAAACGCCAGGAAGAAGGAGGATGGGAGAGGGGACCGCGAAAAGCAGCCGCGGTAGAGAGGCCAGGGAGTCCCCTGGGAAACCAGCCACCGCATTGGACGGTAGGCGGGATCACACACTAACGAGTACACCCACCTTCCGAGGACCGCCACCCGAGCACCTATTTAACCTTTCTCGTAACCGGCTCCTCCACCTAATTCTCCACCTTCACACACGCGCGAACCGCGGAAAAGGATACGAGCGGATATCTCGCTTTTCCGAAGCGCGCGCGCGAGAATCGACGTGTTTCGCTCGCGATCACAATCTCGAGGCCGTGGGCTCTTCCTCGTTATATAATCCATGAGGCGCGGCGTTCTTTGCGAGAAAAGTTTAGAAGGCAAAAAACTTTGACGAGACAAAAAAAACACTTACGGTGATTTAATTTCTACCGAAATTTCGAGAGATACGTATATCGTTTCTCGATATTATTTGTTAAGAAATTTTCTTTATGTGAGAATTTTAAACGCATACAAATTACTTAATTATTTTATGTCAGAGCAATTTTTCTTGCGTTAAAAAATATATCTATCTAAAAATAAGGAGCAAAGATAAGAAAAATGTAACGCGCTACAAGTTACAGAATTATTTCGTGACACGTTTTATTTTCTGACCTTATATCGATTGTTTTAATACAAGTTACATTTCTTTTTCTTTTAATAATTTATTGAGTTAATTAATAATTATTAAATGACATCTTTGTTGCGATCACCGTCTCGTTGGAGTCTCTAAATTGCGTGCAATCGCTGTTTTTTGTGTCACTGTGTGTTCCGTCTACTTCTCGTCGCACCCAGCATCGCGATCCGCGCGAACGATTGAACTCTCCGCTTGTCGAATTCACGGCAATTTCGAAGGCTACTTATTATATCCGCAGCGAATGCTAACAAAAAAAGCCGCGCTTAGGAAACTTTCAACAGAGTATTCAACCACGAAAGAGTTCCGTTATCGGCTGATTTGCGTTGAAAGATTAATCCTCCGTTCTTTCTTCTCCATGAAAAATCGATTGTTATACGAAATTAAATAGTTCTCATTCAAATATCAAGAGGTTACGAATATTTATTAAACTGTACAGGATTGCGAACTGAGAGGTTGAGAATTGATAGTCCGTTCGGCGACGATCATTCAGACGTAACGAGGATTAAATTCGGAAGATATGAATGTCAAGAAAACATACACGCGCGGCCATATAGAACAACAAATCGAATATAAAAGAAATCCAACGATAGTGGCCATCTTGCGAATATGCTTTTACACAAATATGCAGTGCTGTGTAGAATTGTGTAAGTGTGAATAGAATGAATGTTGTCAGAAAAGAAGTGTGAAGATTCTTTTGTCACTTAACTCAATATATAAATAATTATTAAATAAAGAATTTATTGCGTGCAAAAACATAAGATGTCCACGTGTGTGTCTTTTATTAAATACAAAAAATAAATTACACAGACGTTCTTTTGTGTATTCAATAAAAACCACACACAGACATCTTGGGTTTTGACTTGGCATCTGCTTAAATTCCTTGTTTCATCACACCGAAAAAATTATATTCTCGTAAGTAGAAGATTTTATACTTAAAAAATCTTCTTAAAGATTTTAGATGATATTCTTCTGAAATTAAGAATATATTCTTTATTTAAGAATATATTCTTTATTTAAGAATATATTCTTNATTTAAGAATATAGTCTTTTTCGATAGTGAGATATATATGTTTTTCTATAGAGGCTTTTTATATTCTAATCAGTATGTATTCTTATCAATATTACTATTTAGAGGATTTTCCTCTTAAAATAAGGAACTCTTCTTGGCGCCTATTTTAGTATAAAATATACTTAAAGTAAGTGGGATATCCTCAAAACAAGAATACAATTTTTTCGGTGCATCATCTCACGAGCTTATTAAAGTAATTATCAAATCTAGAATATAGAATCATATATATTGTTACAGACAGAGATGTGGCCAATAAATCGAACATACACAATTATACAAAGTTATGTTACAATTATTATTCTAAGAAATGTATAATCGCGCGCTATTATTTTTCATTATTTACTTTTTCATTTTACTCTTAACAAAATTTACTGACAAATAAATACACGGTTTGTACGAGCTAATTTTTAAATAGATCCGATAGATCCTTGATTCGTTGCAACCGGTGGTCCCCGATTTCACGCGACAGGGTGCTAAAACAGATTTCGGAACGCGAGAAAGCAAGACGAAGCGCGAAAAGAAAAGCGACCTTCGAAAGGGAGGAAGTCAACCCCCCGCGAGTCCTGTGAAATCGCGCGGAATGGATTCTCACACGCGGCTGGAGCTCTGTACCACCTTATGGGGCTGAGCACGCGGGCTCCCTATGGGGACTCATAAGGTGCGCGCACCCGTATAAACCCGTAACCCGTATAAACCGTGCCCAGGAAGGCGCCAGCGCCCACCCATCGCGATTATTTATCTCATTGCAATCGCGGCATTAGGTGGTCCACGACGTTCTTTTTTCTTTTCTTCCCGTGCTGCGAGTGCGTTCCGCCACCTCCGGCGCTCCGATCGATACGTCAAAGTGACGTGTTTATTTTTCACGATTATAAATCATACGTTCCCAAAGTTAAACAAGGTCGGGAGAAATTAACGTGCGTTGAAATTATCGCGAGCAACGCGATATAAAAAGATCGCGTTTCTTCTGTTAATTAAAATAAAATAAAATAAAAACGTGTGCTTTTTTTATTTGTATTCTATTATTTATATTTACAATCCAGCGTTCGTGTTTTGCGAGAATTCTCGAGATGAATTCTTCATCAACAATCGAGCTTTTATTATAGTTTGCGGTATCGCAGCGGCGTGTGATCGATCTATCGCCGAAGTGGACCGAATCATGCAAACGAGTTCACTCCGTCTCTCGATTCCGAGACGAAAACCGTGCGACCTGTTCCCGTCTAAGCGGGAACCGTAAACCGAAACGACAAAAAAAGCACGGCAAAAGACGCTCTGTGCTTTAGAGATCATCTTAGGCACGCACGTTCGAGCGTAAATGACTTATCTTAAATTGACTATCGTGACGTCCTCAGTCTCCATTATTATCGATGCTCTCGCGATTTTATATTCTCGACAACGTCTTCTTCAAGTCCCGTTAATATCAAAACGCTCAAATATTCGCGACACGCGGAAGAGGAAGTTGAACATCTGTGAACCGTCAGTAAATGTCCGCGAGATTAATAAAGATCGTTAAAATCGATTACAACGAATCGACAACAACGCGCACGAGGAGATCGCGCGACGATTTTTTTGTGGTCACGTGAACAACACACGAGACGATACGCATCGCGACGTATAAAAGTACGACGGACTTTCGACACTACTCTCACGGCTTGTTGTTGTGGGAGGCACCTTAATAAGGCGCATGTGCGAGCGAAGACGATATTTCGCGACTCCGCCTACGCCGTGACTCTCTCTCTCGTAGTGCACGCGTTTTCCCTGCCGCGTCTCCGCGCGTTTCTCACACGCGCACGCCACAGCGCGCGGAGCACGCTGGCCTGAATCGCGTGCTCGCCACCCACACACGCGCTCACGTTCTCACCACAAACGCGCTCCGCTCTTCGTCGAAGAGCTCCCACCACCGAAGGATGCGCCACGCGCGATTTCATTCATAGCCCCCGCGCGCGATCCGCGCGTATATTAGGAGGCGATGTTCACAGAACGTTGGCTCGTCAATGAATCAGCTGATATCGGTATTTTCTTCTTCTTTGTTGCTACCGATTCGCAGAATATGCGTGCTCCGCGAGTTCTTCCGCTTCAAAGAAATCACATCCGATCGTAAATTGTTCATGCGCAACGAAAATGCAAAAAGTGTGTCGATTTGTGTATATCGCATTTGCAAAAATGCGCGCGAAACTGTTTCGAAATTAAAGTATAAAAAATTGATTTTATTGCAAATTTCTCTTCACGGGGATATACGATCTTCCGCGCGCTCCAGAGCGCGTTAAAATGTGACGCAATATAACGTACCTATCGCAATTTCACTTCAGAATTGCGTTTGTGGTCGAGCGGTCTGATGAGAGGCGCCCAGTAATGTCTCGCCATCTCGCTCGCGCGAAATCAACCATTTTCACTTGATACTGTTTTCAATTCACGGAGAACTACGTGTACGACAATCCGCGTAAGACGCATCTCGTCTCCGGACGCGCGAGCCACGTTGCTCCGGCGCTCCGTATTGCCGCCGTTACCGTTTCGCTATTTGCGGTCGGCAGATCACACGGAAACCGTAGGAATCGGCGTCTCGATATTCTCGAAGGTTCTGTGAGAACGCGGACGACGTTTCTTCATGAATTTATTAGATTGAGACTTTCTCACGCGCGCATCTCGAAGAAGGAGACCTGCGAGACGCGGAAGTAGCGCGTCGTTTCCGTCGTTCTCATGACTTTCTCGAACGGATCTCCGGAACGTGAAAAACTGACGTTATTTATTTAAAACGACGAGCGCGTCGTTGAGGCGTCTCTATCTTTTCTCTCACGCCGCCATCGAAAAAATTCGATTTTTATGAGCTTCATATTACAAAAGATGTTACAAAAGAATTGTGTCACGATTAGAAAACTCAATTTATCTCTCTCTTAAGATTGTCACTCGCGCGATTTTACACGTTGCAATTTGTAATTTCTCTCATAATCCAATCGGGAAGTCGTAATCCTTTGAAGATTCAACTCCCCGTTTGCTTTGAATCTTGAACTCTCTTGGTTGCTGCGGCGCCAAGAAACGGTAAATCTAAACCCGAAACGAGCCGTTTTCGTCAA